CTGACAAGATGCGCGTTAAATATCGCATGCGATTAATCGTGCAGCCCTACTTTATATGCAAGATATTTACTCAACCGATTCATTCAAAACCCAGTATCAGGATTCATTCAAACATCTGATTTACTCACAAACAAAAAAAGTGACTGTATTTATGTTTGAGTCATTGAATCCTTTATTTAGTCAGCAAAGTCAATTTTGCCACCTTTGGCTAAATCTAATGGAAATCAAGGACGCTGACAAGATCGCCTTCTTTGACTCCTCCGTCTCTCCCAAGGGATTGTTTGGCCCTGGGTTTGCGGAGCGAATTACAGTGGCACAGAAGTCATCGCAAGTCATGTGATACTTCCTGCCGAAGTGCTCCAGCTTGGCGGCTGGTACAAGTTGCCAGAAGGCTCCATCCTCTCAGCAACCTGCAAACCCCGCACCGCCTCCGACCCAGCCTAAATTTGAGCCTGGTCTTCAGCAGCACCCCCAGATGGCTAGAAGGTACCCATACCTTAAGCGCCAAGAGTAGTGCTGGAACCTGAGCCTCAGAAGCCGTCCTGATCCAAGAGCAGAAAGGAAGAGGAGAGGGTCAGTACCCATCGCGGCCGGACTGCCCTCAAAGAAGTCCCGCACCCACTCTCCAATCCCCTGCTTGGGCGATGGAAACTCTATTCAGGCTGGGCCCATCCTTCCCACTCAGCACGCGCCCATGCAATTTACCGCTGAGATAGTGGACCCACATACTCAAAAGAGCACTTCTCCTCTCCCCACTATCACGAGGGTCAGTTCCCCGCCTCCTTGTGGTGACCTGCCACTCGAAAATCTCAGACCACTTGCCATCCGGGTCCAGGCTTGGAAAGCCATTCCGGATGTGTCAAGTTGGGTTCTAAAAACCATAGAACGAGGTTACTCGCTGCAGTTTGCACGTAGACCACCTTGCTTCAGAGGTACTAGCCAAACTTCGGTGTGGTGTAACGATGCTTACGTTCTCCAGTCCGAAGTGCAAACTCGGCTTGCAAAAGGAGCTGTGGAAATTGTCCTTTTAGTGAACAGTGAGTCAGGCTTCTACAGCCGCCATTTCCTCGTTCCCAAGAAAGATGGCGGGCTCAGGCCCATCCTTGATCTCTTGAGCATCTGAACGCATTTATGAAACGGCCATTCAAGATGCTGACTTTGAAGCAGATCCTCACAAAAATATGCCCTGGGCACCGGCTTTTATCGTTGGATCTGAAAGACGCTTACTTTCACATCTAGATAGCTCCCCCATCACAGACCATTCTTGAGATTCGCGTTCGAGGGGGTTGCTTATCAATATACAGTCCTACCATTCGGACTGTCTCTGGCCCCATGCACTTTTACGAAGTGAAAAGTTAGACTATGCGAATAGTTGGACTTCGCATAGTTGGACTATGCGAAGCTTTGGGATCGCTAGATGAGGGCTTAATGAACTCATATTTGTGAAAACCTCAAACTCGACCACTTGTTTTGCCTTTGGCTAGCTCTTAATTAGCCCGTGCGTCATTCCGACTCATTTTGCCAGCACGGGTCACATTTAGGAAATTAAAAAGTTGTAAATAGGAGCAATGGTAATTTATCTAGTCACACATTATGCCAGTCATGATTTCATTACTTTTGTAATATGGTTCATTTAATTAAATTCACAAAATTAGTTAATTAATTTCAAATTGCAAATGTGTTCTGATAAACAACAAAGCACTTAGATCCACCCAGGCCTGCTTCAGTCTGTACGGTCTCAAACACATATTTATGAATTTGGTCATCCCTGACCTGCATTTAGAAGTGGAAAGCTCCGAGATCATGGAGCAATTTCCGGCGAGCCCCTCGTGGAACTTTAGGATTCAATAGGTCAGTTACAGTGCAGCGAGATTTAATGGAAACTTACCAGCGGAGTCCTGCCTATGCTGTTGAGGTAATAGAGGAAGCCTTTGGTGTGGTAAATTGTGGGGCTTAAATTAGGGTCCGGCTTCAGCCACTGTCTGTTGAGGTCCTCAGCGGTGAGAGAACAGCGATTACTGAAATAAATCAAAAGAAAAAAAGTGATTACAAAGAACAGAAAGTCAACTTTAAACTTACTAAAAGTCCAATTTGGATTTCATGAGCTCTTTAACGCATTGCCAGGGATCAAAGTAACATCAAAAACCATCTGAGTTTGCAATCCAATATCTGATTTAGCTTACCTGTTTGTTTGAAGACAAGATAACCAATCTATCTGTCTCTGTGCATGCCTGTGTATCTGTGTGAATGTTCAAACGCTGAAATTGTGACGTTCCCATATCAGCGTCTACCTTTACAGGTTACTGAAAGGTCGGCGGTGAACAGAGCTATCTAGCGCACCGCACAACCAGTCTGTTGATTAGAGAGCAAGCAGCAGCTGAGCTTTATCTCCTGACAAAATCCTACTGACATTTGGAGGTAGCTTGCCAACTACAGACTTCCCCACATTCAGTTCCTGAAAGCCAATTATAAGACACAATGTTCAAACATTAGCAAATTGATAGGCCGCATTTGAAACGGCTGAGAGCGACTGTTGAGTCTCTGATCACAGGTGATCTGTGTGATGATTTGCTGTGTGCTTTCTTTGGGTCAATCTTGATCTGGAATGAGTGGAAGCATGAAGTAAAACACAGTCGCCACCTGAAAATAAACATACAATAAAATATCCCGGCTTTTTATCAAATGCAATGGCTGTTTTCATAGACATCAATAATGGCTGTGTGAAAACAAAAGATGGAAGTTGCAGTCTTCTTTGCCTCTGAACAGTTTGTTCAACCAGACTTTTTTCGGAGTATATTGCCGATTGAACTAAGATGCCTTTAGGTACATAAAAAATTAACGGAAACCACAAACAGAACCGCATGACTATAAATACAACCCACTTTTTAAAGTGTTTCAGAAAAGCTGCGGCTCTCTGCTGAAGTAGTTCAAGAAAAGAGCCACAATCTTCAGAGAGTTTCATCGTAAACAAAAATACCATATTCTAGTGATCTGGAGACAAGGAAATTACTGTATTTTGGAGGCGACAAAACACGGTTTTCTGGACAGTTTCCAATGCACCCCAGGGAGGGCAGCAAAGCGGAAATGGCAAGAAAATTGTTCCACCCTACAGCTGTCTATAGTTTAAAGTGAACCTTTGTATAGAAAATAAGAAAACCAGAAACAATGGATGACAGTTGAGATGATTTGAGAGTTAGATCAATATTACCTGTCTGTCTGTTCAAGCCATGTTTACACTAGGCAATTTCTAACTTGGATTTCCAACTCATTGTGTCATTATGTATTCATTGCCGGATATTTAGATCGTAAATAGTCGATGAACCAAACTGAAGCTTTTGCTATGAACGACAGCAGTGACTTCATGTTTTTTCCTCTTTTTTGGGGGGCTCCATTTTGTTCTTGACAGAAATAATTTATGAACAATTCTCTGCTCTTGCGTCTGATGACAACTGAGAGGTGGAACAGTATTTTGTCCCCTTTTATGGTTCTCCAAAAACTGACAGCCCTTCTAACAAATCCTGCTTTTAAAATGTCTACTTTTCAATATTTCACCCAGTGCACTGCAGTGCATGACACATTCTGCAGTAGCCCAAAGCAACCCTGGCCTCAAAGGCTAAAAAGAATTTAAACAATAGTTCAGGTTTAATATTTAGGAGAGGTAATGAAATAAATGAAATCATCAAATAAATACCAATTAACACATGAACAGAATGGTCATTTGACTCCACCAAACCTCAAAAACAGAACACTCAAATGATAATTTGGACTCCACTCACTTCACAATAGAACGCCTAATGCAGGGGTGTCAAACTAAATTCCTTTAGGGCCAGAGCCCTGCAGAGTTTTGCTCCAACCCTGCTCAAACACACATAGCATGTAGTTTTCAAATGAGCCTTAAGGGCTTGATTAGTTGGATCAGGTGTGTTTAATTAGGGTTGAATCTAAACTCTGCAGGCCTCCAGCCCTCCAGGAATTGAGTTTGACACCCATGACCTAATGGGAATTTGACTCCACCCACTTCAAAACAGAAAGTTCCCTGGGCATTTGTCTCCACCCAACTCAAAAACACTAGCTACATTTACAAGCAGTAAACCTGATGGCTCAATTGGACTGAAAAGCCTTCATGTAAACACCTTAATTGGGATTGGATTAGAAGGGGTGATGTAGACCTTTTCTAAACAGAACACTTAATGATTACTTTGACACCACCCACTTGGGCATTTAACTCCACCCACCTCAAAAACAATAGGTGCGTTCGACTTGAAGCACCGCTACAGACGGCAGTCAACGAGAGTAGCCGCTTGCAGTCGGGGGAGGAGGTGAAAACGGAGCCGTCAAGCAAGACATTTCTGCTCCCGTTAGTGATGCTCGCGCAGTGTTTGCATACTCTATCACAGATGACGTGAATTAAATGCAATATTTGTCAAATACACAGATGTAGCATTTGGACCAATCAGAGCAACAGAAACACTTTTTATACACTGCTTAATACAGTGCCATCTGTTCAAGAATAAAGTTCAACGTAAATATATACTATTTAAATACTAATAAAGTGGGGGTATATATGCTTTCATGATAAACGTGACTCAATATAACATAGCGACTACAGTAAAAAAGCTTTTAATGTTCTAAAACCACAGATTTATGAGCAGTATTGGATTTGAAGATGTTAGAAACACACGTCATTGTTGTCATGTGGAGAATTTGGCCATCCGTGAAACAGCTGTGTTGTCATCAGCACTCCTGCAGTCGCTCTGAAAAAGCTGCGGCAGCTGAGTCAGCCGGCTGCTCTCGAAATGATATCGCGGTACTTTGAAGTCGGACAAAATTTCTAACCGGCATGCACTGTTTCAAGTCAGCTGCCGATCGGTTTGTGCGGCGCCGCATGAAGTCGAACGCACCTAATGTCTAATGGGAATTCGACTCCATTCAACCTCAAAAACTGTGCCCTCAATAATTGTGACTCCACCCACTTCAAAACAGAAAGCTCACTGGGCTTTACACTCCACCCACTTCAAAAACAATGTCTAATGGGAATTTAACTCCACCCAACCTCAAATATAGAACACTCAATTATTATTTTGACGCTCATTGGGTATTTGACTCCACCCAACCTCAAAAACAGAACACTCTATAATAATTTTGACTCCACCCACCTCAAAAAAGCATGCTCATTAGGCATTTGTCTCAACCTACCTCAAAAACAGAATGTCTAATGGGAATTTCACTCCACCCAACCTCAAAAACCGAACAGTCAATGATCATTTTGACCTCATCAGCCTCAAAACAGAGCACAGGTTGGGTATTTGACTCCACCCACCTCAAATACAAAATGTCTAGTGGGAATTTGACTCTATACCCACCTTAAAAATACAACGTTCAATTACCATTTGGACTTCTCCAATCTTAAATTAAATGAAAGCAATCCTGGTCTACAAGGCTTAGGATTTACATATAATTTAAAAAATCAAGACAAAGTGTGAAGTACTACACCTAACCTAATAATACCCAATAATAATTTTGACTCACCTCAATCTTGGTCTCAAGGGTGCTCATCAAATAGGAATGAACTCATGTAAAATATAAGCATTTGACTCCAACTCAAAAACAAAATACCTAATGGTAATTTGACCATTTAACTCCACCCACCTCAAAAGCAGAATCCCCAATTATCATTTAGACTTTGCCTACCTCAAAAACTCAATGAATAATTGACTCAACTCGACCTCACAAACTAAATACCCATGGGCCATTTGATTCCGCCAACATCAAAAATATCCAATCAAATGCCTCCTGACTCATTGTCAAAAGCAAACACATCACGCTCCAGCATGCAAATGCTAACTGTTCTAAAAACATTTAATTCACAGCGGGCGAGAGCTAGTTAAGGCTTTAATTAGGAATACTGTTGTTCAAGCATATACGGATTATAATACAATCATCATTTATACACTTTATGATCCAAAAACTTATAATGAAGCCATTAACGCAAGTCACTCCCCCTTTATAATCACCCGCTGAAAAATAGAAAAGCATTTGATGCTCACTGAGACAAGAAATGACAGAACAGTGGGAGTTTTGGAAAGAAAACTGTATCTTGTACATTTGTTCACATTAACTATTTATAAGGAGATGAAATGGCTGACAATGAGAGGAATTAACGCAAGTATCACCTCAGTTCAGCTACAACACAGATAAATAAGAAGAGGCGGTGATTATCAAGGCCCCATCTCTCTCTTCCAGTCACATCTGTCCTATCCCAATCTATTTTGTGGGTCTTCAGTGTAACTGCTAAGCATTATGCAGTGTGATATAGATCTTGTATAATTTGCTTATGATTGATTTGGTCACGATTAGGAAAGGGCACACAAACGATTTTCATGTGCCACCTGATGCAACAATAATCACAGAAATCGATAAGCAATCCTGGAGCTACTTAAATTGTATTATTCTTGGTGATGTGTTATAAAATGTCATAAACAAATGTGTGTGTGTGTGTTATTAATTTAGTACAGTTTTGTTACAAATGTATGAATCAACATATAAACAGTGATATACATTATAAATAAGTAAAATATTAAATGAATATTAGTAAAAACTATCTATCTATCTATCGACCGTAAAGTGAAAGTCATCTCCCATCAGCCAACACTAACCCCATGAACTCACACACTATTATACTGCGCAGACACACAGACACTTCCTGATCAACTTACTGAACCAGGACAGTTCAATTTACTCCCATAGTTACAGATAGATCAGTTGGATCAGTCTCGATAGCTTTTCGTCGCCTCGGCTAATGAGGTTATATTTTCGTTTTCTACTAAAATCTCCATCAGCTGGAGATGGGCACAATCAGTGATGTTTAGTTGAGCGAGAAGTAGTGTGAGAGAAGGAAAAAAAAAGGAAAAGAGGTGAAAGAAGTTAGAATTGGGAACTGGATATTTCCAGAAAAAGGCTACTATGAATGCAACACTGATTGATCAATGGTACCATAAGAATGTACAAAGTACAGAAC